ACGAAATATCGAGAAAAAAATACTTACTGAATAATGATGTCATAATTACCAAATAATAATGAGTCATAACGGAAATACCAAATTATTGACATCATGATAAAAGTTTTTTCTCCTCTAATCTGCATCGAGGTAAGAAAGCAGAAGATTCACTCAACTTTTCTTTCAAGTTCCCGATTCACGTTGTTGTATTTTCTGAGCTTTGTTATTTCCCGAGAGTATTTTTAGTGCTGCCTTTTCTTTTTATCCGGATATTTTGTGGATAAATTAAGAATATTTTAAATTTCAGCCCTTTTTAATACAATTACAGATTAGAAACGCACTCATGATTTTACTGCTTGCAACGTTGAAAAGCATTGCCGGTAATACAAAAAATGCAAATTCTGCAAAACATGGAGACAGGTGCTACTCCTTGGTTTATAGCAGAATCGTATAGAATTGCGATACGATTGTGTATGATATACAGAAAAATAAAGAAAAGCTGTTGAAATTTTACAGCAACAGTGATTCTAACACCGGAATCCGAAAACGGAAATCTTTTCATGAGGCGAAATTGGCAAACCTCAATGCTGTGTATATATAATACAACGAATAATATAATCAATTGATATATGTAATAATAATTTAATGCAAGTTATTGCAATAATGTATATAATAATTTAATTAAATGTATCTAATACACCTTATTTACTTTGCACTTTTAGTCTGAATATTATGATTTATCTTTTCTGTCCTAAAATCGGCAAAATCATAAAATTCGCAAAACCTCTGGTCCCAAGCTTTGCGGATTTCTGGAATTCTACTGTATCAGTTTAGACACATTTTCTTCCAGACATTAATATTAATTAATAAATTAAAATATTTCATTTAATCACATCAACCATCACTGAACTGATAATGGATATATAATTCAGTAACGTATTATGTTTAAAAGAATTCAGTTTAAAGAGTTTAGTTTAAAAGAATATACCTATAATTTAAAATTTCATTGCATTAAAAATGATTGCAAAGTCTAGAAGTGTTTAATAATGCATGCATAAATTACTGATGCCATAATGGTACTATGATGTTATTGTGATAGTATTTTAATGGTCCTATACACAGTACAATGTAATATGCTTAGCTTCTACTAATGATATTTTATTTTCTATCATTTAATATTTGCATTATTTTTGGGCTGCATTTTGCAAAAACCTTGCAGCATGCAATGTTCTATATAGAGTCAAATGAGTTATATAACTGAAACATAATATTTGAAGTTCAATTAATTATACATAGTAATTGTACATTAAAAAACAATATCAGGTTTTCAGAAAAGTTTCCTGCCACCACAAATATCATATGCACAAACAGTTTGTGTTGACATGTTTAATCACATTTTGTCAAATGATTTTTGGCATTTGAAAGAAAAAGACTTGTTTTAGAACACAGTGCTGAGAAATTCGTAAATAAATACCATTATTGTTAAGGACTGACATGTTCAGACCAGCACTAATCCGCTCGAATGTCAATGTAAGGACAAAATTCTCGACCAGATCGTCACTTGTGGTGAAAAGTGGATTTACTTTGACAACACAGGTCGAAAACGGAGTTGGTCTCAGGAAAATGGTAAAACTCTCTGACAGTACAATGTGCATCAAGATGCTAGCCCGTGTTAATGCTTATTATCAAGGAAACATGTTGAACAGAGTTCCAGCGGAGAAAGGTAATGTTCCATCAAGATAATGCAAGACCTGCATTAACCGGCTGGACTCTATTCGGACTCGAATTGGATCTTTTGCCACACCCACCATAAATCCCCGAACGTAGATCCATCTGATTTCTACCTTTTTTCACACCTGCAGCTACATCTTTCTGGTGCTATTTTGCGTTCTTCACAAGATGTCCAAAATGAGGTTGATCTGTTTTTAGCCTTGCGACCAAAGTTTCTGGGCCAAAGGCTTTGAGAAACTACCAAAACATTGACAGAAAAACATAGATTTGGGTGGTGCTACCTGCACTAAAAGTACTATTTTCCTGTTTCTGTTTCCTATCTTTATCAAGAATGTTTTTGGTGAAAAACTTTCATTACAACTAGATATAACTTGGAATAATGTAATAAAATGTATCTGACATAAACAAATTCTGTATAATGAAAATACTATCTAGAACTTTGTAAATAATACACAATACATAAAAAAATGCATGTACAGTACAAAGTCTGTAATCCGAACATCCATTATCCGGAATGATCTATAATCCGGACCTCAAAGCCACAAACTTTTTTTGTATGCTTTACGCATGCGCGTTTAATGTTATGCATGCACGTTTAATGTTTACGCATGCGCGTTTAGCACAAAAAACGAAGCAACTTAAACAATTTACATTGAAAGAAATGTTTAATAAGGTAAACAGATAAATATTAAGCTTTTTTTTTTTATAAATTTTGATACTATTTAGATCATAATTGCTTTTTATTTCATACATTACGGTTTCATATTTTTAATTGTATAATTTCTACATGGCATCTTACCAGATTTAAACTAATGATTTATAATCCAGAAAAACCCTTAATCCGGAATCGCCGAAGTCCCGACGAGTCCAGATTATTGACTTTGTACTGTATTATGAGAAACTTTGAATAGTATGTTAAAACAGTATATATAATATTATGCAATAATATAAATGCATGAGCGTTTAGCACAAAAAATGAAGCAACTTAAACAATTTACATTGAAAGAAATGTTTAATAAAGTAAACAGATAAATATTAAGCTTTTTTTTTTTTATAAATTTTGATACCATTTAGATCATAATTGCTTTTTATTTCATACATTACGGTTTCATATTTTTAATTATATAATTTCTACATGGCATCTTACCAGATTTAAATTAATGATCTATAATCCAGAAAAACCCTTAATCCGGAATCGCCGAAGTCCCGACAAGTCCAGATTATTGACTTTGTACTGGATTATGAGAAACTTTGCATAGTATGTTAAAACAGTATATATAATATTATGCAACATTGTAAGGTTGTTTTTGTAAAATTATGTAAAATTGCAGTAGTTATAAAACCTACCACAAATTGGATAAATTAAAGTTTTTAGATATAGATAGAACAAAAGAATATTATGAAAACAATTGATGAAAATTTATTAAATATGAAACAAAGAACTTAGATGTTAATAGACTGTGCGAGTATTATAAAAATGTATGTTGTAAAATACTTTTATATCATGGACATATCATGGACTCATGATTATTCTCAACTTGTATAACATGAATTAATAAACTATGCAATAACTAATGTGACTCTAAATATTATAGAAAATGAAATGAATGCCATCTAGTCTACTAGCCCTCTCTCCCTTGGGTGGGTCTTGGTGATACAAGATAGTATCTGCCAGGATGACTAAACTAGGAAAGATTTTTTGAGGAAAAGTTAGGTTAATGATCATCCTTTGGTGGTGTCAAAAGTACAAAAAAGCAGAGGAAGAAACTGTCGGTTTGTATCAATAAAGAGCAACTGATTAGTGATAGCCACCATAGTGAGAAAGTTAAGAGTTGGAATATAGAGTTCACAAGATACTGTATTATAACTACTAACTTATATAAAAGAATTTAAAGCATTCTAGAGTTCTAGTTAAGGGCATGGTTCAACAACATGCATCCGTGCGTGATTAGACATGAGGAGGCCCCCCATGCAAGCAAAAATGCTGTTGGCAAACCTGTTGCGGTTTTAAGATAGAAGATAGATAAGAACAGTTTTATTCTGTAGCAGGTATTAACTTTAATGAGATTGCTCTCTTCTGGTACAAAACATGGACCTACATCAAAAAGAAAGAGATGACTTTGCAAGCCTATGAAAGAAAATTTAAACCTCTTCTATGCAGTAATACTAAGGAAAACTTAAAGACAAAACTGCTGCTCGTTATACAATTAAAGAGATCTCAGGGTACGGAGGGTGAAAAAATAGGCTTAGAAGAATATAGATGTTAAATCCCAAATCCTTAGTAACTAAAAAATTTCTTAATCAGTGATTTGGTGGAGTTTTTATCCATATCCAAAAGAAATATCTGAAGGAGAAAGATTTACCTCTCCGTGCACTTCCAATGTTAGACATTGCAACTGGAAGTCTTTCAGGATTTGAAGAAATTTTCAGTGAAAAAAATTGACATCATTCTGTTGAAATTCCAGCCTCTCAAAATTCCCCTTTCAGTTAATCTGTGAATCAACGAGTCTTCTCTGATTTCGAGCTCTATGAAAAAGCCCTTTTCCAAAAGCATTTTCAAATTGTTTCAGCAAAACAGCTAACTCTTACGGACTCGGAAGCAATATTCATTTCTATATATTTTACTCCTGATGATTACACATACGGAGGAATTAATGCTAAGCTTCTGCACTAACTAAATTTAAAAATCGTTCTGAAAAAAATATTGCAAGAGTGGAGGAAATTATGTCTTTGAGAATATGAATAATGCGAGAAGCGAGCAATGAAAGTGTTGAGGAACTTGTAAGAGGACCACAAAAATGAGCAGTAATCCTCATATGAAGCAGCAGCAAAAATTAAGCACAGAAGGAAAGAATTTTCCGAGTCTGCATTATTTTCTTAATTATGCCCTTTTGCAATCCATTTTCAATAAACTTTTCAATGCAGAAAAATGTTACTGTAATTTAAAAAAAAAAAAAAAAAGCACTTTAATGCCAATTACAAATGTTCAAGCTGTCAATCAAATTTTACCGTAAATTCTTCTTCAGCTTTAATCAAGTATTTCCAATTATAAAGAGTTTAAAATTATAAACAGCTCTTTAATTATGTTAAAGATGTATTCTGTTCTAAAAAAGTATGTATGTTGTTCTAAAAAGTTACTCAAACTAGAAAAAACTTTCAGAAAATTAATAAGTTATCAGATTGATTAGGACTATAAAAATTAATATTTAAAACTGCATTTAAAAATGTTATAACAAAGAAATAAAACAAATTACAATATTTATATTAAAAATTTAATAATTTTTTTTTACCGAAACTTGTAAAAGTCCTCCTTTGCAATTCAAAATGAAAATCATTAATGTGTGCTGGTTCCACATATCCTGCAAGAGAATTTTTAACAGCCAATTGCTGCTGCGTTTTGAAAGGATTTATTGGACCAGCCTATAAAAGAGAATATATATTATTTTTTCCAAAGACAGCTAAATTATTCACAAATAGAAGTCTGATTTTATGGATTGAAGCTACATTTTAGAAGAAAAACATGTACATTTTCTGTATGAATAATTATCAACGGAGAGAAAATACAAAATATTTCAATAATTGGAAAACAAATTCAATCAGCTTCCTACATTAGATTCATTAATATTTAATATACATTATATTTCTTATAAACTTCTTACCTAACTTTCCCTCCTAAATTATAAAGAAATAATTTACCTTTTTTAGTGCTAGGTTGCTTGAAGTCAAGCATGGGTTGTGAGATGGATATTTATTTGTACCAAACGTATAGTTCAATACATACTAAAATGGATATGAATTTTACATATATGGGTTCACAATCTATAGCAGGTACAGCAAACTGCATTTCTTTAGCCTCTTAAATGCAACTTACGTACAATAGGCAGTCGTTTTATTTTTGAAATGTTATAACATTTTGAAACAGAAATCAGTAATTTGTCAGAGTAATGAGTAAAGTCACAAACAATTCCATTTCTGTGAATTACCAAATGGTCATACTATTTCAGGATAACATGAAAGATAATTTTAGGTTGAGGATGGCACGAAAGATAAATGTTACAATCAATTAAAAACTGCATTCTAAGTCGTTTTTTCCTCTTGGGTTTTATTTCATTTCAAATAGTTTTCCCTTATAGGCCTATTTAATCATTTATCTTGGAAATCTGCATTTAATGAAAAATAAATTTAAGAATACACTTTCAAAAAATAAACCTATGAAATTTATGCACGTGTCAATGCACAGAAAGTTTTTAGCCTTGAGGTCCGGATTATGTGTGTCCGAATTAACGACTTTTGACTGTATGAATATCTGTCATTATTGCTGTTTTTTTGAATTGTTTGAAATTTATTTTAGTTTATTTTGTTGATTATTGTGCAATGTCTAGATTGTGCAATTCGTAGATGTTTTTTCAAGTTTAAACAGAATGCTGTGTACATGGTATTCTTTGAAAATTATTCTTGTTATGTTAATTTACTTCAGCTAGGTGTGTGTAGTTCGTAGATTCCTTCGCTGCATGAATTGTGAAATTCTGTGATGATTTTTTATGTTAAAACATATCGCTGTGTACATGAATTCTTGTCAAATATTTTTGGTAAGAAATTTTACGTTTTTCCTACCTAAATTTTTTGTTTTTGTTTCGAATTTTTAGCTTAAATTGTGTGTTCAAAACAAGGTTTTTGCATGTGCGAAAACCATGTTTTTGGAGACATTTTAGGCTTAAAGTTCGAAATATAGACAAAAAATTTAGATAGTAATATAACACCGTGGAGTTTATCGCCAAAAATATTTGGCGAGAAATTTGTCGCCAAGCGAGGGCTTATATAAGAGTAGTTTCCAGAATTACACACAAAAGAAGGAAATTTGATTGTATTCTTCTCAAATGTATGATAACCAAAGAATTTAAAGAAAACTTCGGTACTATTCGGTTTCGAGGGCTGTAAAAAATCGCCAAAGTATTGTTGATGCCAGTGCTCCCAAAAGTAATTGCGGCAACCCTAACACAAGAAAGGAAGTATAATATTAAATAACTATCTAAATATTGATGTTTTAATTTAGATGAAAGTTTAATTTCATATAATATTTCGCTACCGAGTTATCGCTAAAGCATTAAATGTCATCTCGTTGGTTGTTCAAACATAATTTTCTATAATGAATGATGCCTTTTCTTTGAAAACATTTTCGGTAAAGTGCAGAATTGCCCGCTTATTTCTTTTCCGCTTTTTACAAGGGTAAAAACAATTGGAATTTTGTTAATTTTCTTTTACTTTTTAAATGACAATAGGTCAATGTGTACATAGATAAATTCAAGGGTGTGTGCAGTGCCATTTTTGTGCAATTCTGGGATTTTTTTTAAGTGAAAATAAGTCGATGTGTAAATGGATACCGAATATGTGCAATTCTTAAAAACGCGTCAGGCAGTGGGTGATTCTGCACTTTACCCAAAATTCTATTGCAGACTTTTCATCATAGGTAATTTCCAAGTTGTTAAATCCATAGGATATCAAAAAAGGAATTAAAAAATTAAACTAGTATTTCAGTGGCGTCTTAAGAAATATAGAACTATATCAGTGCGTACGCTAGATTTGGCACGCTGTGAAATGGGCACGTTTGCTAGGTTTGACGCCTTTGCGCATACATTTTCGCTGCAATTTTTTTACGGCCCTTGAAACTGAATAGTACCAAAATTTCTTTAAATAAATTCAATACTGTCCCTATTCTTATTTCCTTTCATTATATCAGCATGATGACAATTATAAGTTCTAAAAATAAGACTCAGCATAACATTAGTATTTTTTGAGTCTCCATACCCAAACCTGTTGATGACTTTGGACAAAAACATTTGGGTCTCTCTCTCTCTGTTTTTCTCTGTTTGGGTATCCTTACATCTTTTTCAATGGTACGTCCAGTACCGTCAATTTTTTTACATTCTTCTTTTTCTTAAAGAACACACACACTTCTCAGAGTTTATTATATCAATCAATATTTTGGTCTGGGGATAATCTCAGTTCTTCACCAAATATCACCGCTGTATATATGTTAACTAATTAATGACGCAAACAGCTACTACAAATGAAATATTGCTATTTTCAAACCAGTTTCTGACTTGCACGCTAATACTCTGTTTGCAGTTTTTCTCACTATATTTTCATAAAATTTGTGATTTAAGGAATAAAATTTCACAAAATGAGAATTTTTGCATTCTCAAATGTTGGGAAAAATGCCATATTTCTGAAGAAATGCAACAGTTTCTTTTACATCATCTAGCAAACTCTACAATCCCATTACAATTTATTATAAAAAAAGAACTCAATGCAAAAAGAAATACTAATCAGAAAAATAATTGCTGAATTTCAAAAGTGCAGATCCATATGCTCTTAAAACACACGTATGCTAAACAAATATTTGGGTTGTCAGAAATATACTTTTTAGCACAGAAAATAGCACATGTACTTTAATGTCCACTTCAATAAACTAAAAAAATCTGTTACCATAATAAACAGAAACTCTTAATCAAAGAAAAATATTTTATAGAAAGCAAACTGATACAATCATATTGTTTTAGCCTTTCTTATAAATTATTAAAAGAAAGTTCAAAACCTTTGTCATCATCTCTAACATTAATACTTATGGTACAACTCTGATATACGCCCTAATTCCACCAAATGTGGCGATATGTGTTCTGCGCTGGTTTTTGGCGTGACTGCGTGTTGTATGGCAACCCTGTCAACGTTGAAAAATCTTTTGGTGGAGTACTTTAATTGCTAGTTGGTTCGTGTCGCCTGTGTTTTTTAAATGGCCTATGTTGCAATGAAAGACGTGGTGCGAAGGTTTCAGTCGCATATTTTAGATTGTGTGCAGAGTAAATTTAGTATGAAAAGGTATGATGTTGGAGTTGTTAACGAGTCTTTTGTTCACGGATGTATTTATGGGGATCGTAGTGTATTTTTGGAATTTCTGTGGGAATCGGGACTTTTAAAAGAGTTTGAAGTGTCCGAAATGCGGAGCTGATATGAGAACTCGGACGAAAAATGGTGTTTCTGATAGACTTGTGTGGGTTTGCAGTCAAATTGTTGCTAATAAAGTATGTGGGTGTCAGCAGAGTTTAAGGTTTGGATCTTGGTTTCATGTAGCAAGTTAACGTTGGAAGAAGTTTTTATTGTTACTTTCGAAATTTTGAATTGTAAGAAGGCATGTGATATAGCAAAATCGTGGAAGTTTTCTTCACAGACGTTGTGTGACTGGCGAAATTTTATTAACAAATGTATTTTGCACTTTGTACGCTCAGTATCTGAGAAGATAGGGGAGAAAGATAAAGTGGTGGAAGTTGACGAATCGAAATTCGGCAACGTGGCCTTCCTGTTGAGGGCCAGTGGGTATTTGGAGGTGTGGGAAGAGGGTCTAGGGATTATTTTTAGTAGCTGTGCATGATAGAAGTAAGGCAACACTGATGCAGTGTATTAAGGAGTGGATTGAGCCTGGTACAACTATTTTTTCGGATGGTTGAAAATCCTACAAGGATTTGAGAAAAGAAGGTTTTCAACATTTATTTGTGAACCATAGTATAAATTTTGGGCATAGCGAGTCTGGCTGTCATATAAATCGTATAGAGAGTATGTGCGGCATGTTAGCTACGTTGCCTACTTATAACAGGAAATGTGATTTTCACTTTTATTTGGCTGTGTATATGTTTTTTCATTACTGTCATGAAATTGGAGAAGATGCCTTTAACAAATTTCTAGAAATTGTAAGAACTGTTGAATGAGAGAAATTAAAAATTTCTTTGTAGTGCATTTGCAGAAAGTGTTTGTGTTTTTTGTTTTTGTGATGTTTGAAATTGATATTTCTGCTTTTAAAAGAAGCTTTTATTATGGTAAGTGCATTTTATTTTATTGTTTTTATTTTGTAGAATGTTATGTTCAGTTTTTTTTGTATGAATTTCCGTTTTTATTGTTGTTTTTTGAATTGTTTGAAATTTATTTTAGTTTATTTTGTTGATTAGTTTTTAGTCTAGATTGTGTGCAATTCGTAGATGTTTTTTAACGTTGAAACAGAACGCTGTGTACATGGTATTCTTTGAAATTTATTGTTGTTATGTTAATTTATTAAAGCGAGGTGTGCATAGTTCGTAGATTCATTTATTGCCTAGAATGTGCAATTTGTAGATGTTTTTTAAAGTTGAAACAAAATGCTGTGTATATGGTATTCTTTGAAATTTATTGTTGTTATGTTAATTTATTAAAGCGAGGTGTGCGTAGTTCGTAGATTCATTTATTGCCTAGAGTGTGCAATTCGTAGATGTTTTTTTAAGTTTAAACAGGATGCCGTGTACATGGAATTCTTTGAAATTTATTGTTATGCTAATTTATTAAAGGGAGGTGTGCGTAGTTCGTAGATTTGTTCGTTGCCTACATTGTGCCATTCGTAGATGTTTTTTTAAGTTAAAACATGTCGCTGTGTACATGGATTCTTGTCAAATATTTTTGGTTAGAAACTTTATGTTTTTGCTATTTAACTCTTTTGTTTTTGTTTTGGATTTTTAGCTTAAATCGTGTGTTCAAAACGTAGTTTTTGCATTTGCGAAAACCGAATTTTTGGAGACATTTTAGGCTTAAAGTTCAAAATGTAGACAAAAAATTTAGATAGTAACATGGCGGCATTTGAGGGCACATATCAGAATAGTTCCATATTTATAATTTAACATTACATTATTAAATTTTATTAACTTAAAATAATTTCAAAAATATCCAATTTACTTACAACAGGTGCATAAAGTTCTTCATATTTTGGATTAAAAGTTATGACACGGCTGGATGGGTCAATGCATTTGACTGCTTCAAATGATTCCTGATAAAATTTAACATCACACTTACAAAACAGGAATAAAATTACAGAATACAAACTGTATTTGAACCACACTTGATAGATATATCAGTTAAAGTTTTACAATAAAACATATCATTAAGTTTGCATAGCTATTACTCTGAAATAATGCACAAAAAATTCACAAATTAAAAAAGTCTTTATCACATTATAATAATCCAGGTTCTATAAATTTAGTTTAATTGCAAAGAAATTCAGAATTTTCAATACTGTAATGAGCAGATTCCTTGTAATTAAGTGTGATTTTTTTTTAAAAATTGTTCTTATATATAAAAGTGCTTAAAAAAAAAACCTAGAACTTAAAAATGTTTCGTCAAATAACTTAAGTCTAGAGAGGATTCTCACTTGAACATTAAGTCTATTTTCAGAATGATCAGATTGATAATCTCTTAGCAATTCATATAACATAGAATGGAATTAGTATATCTAGCTACATAAACAATGTGAGCAGAACTAAGTCAAAATCCAGATGTCCAATATCCAGAATGATCTAAAATCCAGACCTCTGAACTACCAGCAACCTCTTTCTTTAATTAGAAATTTTTATGTATGCTTTATGCATGCCCATTTGATATATTTTAATAATAAAACATATGGAGAATCTTGATTGTTAATTTCTCTCGGTACTAAATAAAACACATCTATACTGAAGAAACAATCACTTATCATCATAAATCTGTATAATCAATAATTTGGATCTAAAACTGATTTTCTGCTTGGAATATATCTTAAACATAAACATTTTACTTCATTGATTTTAGATCTATTGAATATCCCTTATGCCAACCAGACAAAGTATTATTTATTATTTTTTGCTTTAATCACTATGCGATTATCAACACACTATAACTGCACTGTGAAATGTTAAAAGTGTTGATGAGGAGAAATTTAACAGGGTTTTTTTTTTTTTTTTTTTTTTTTTTTTTTTTTTTTTTTATGTACAAAAATTAGACTTGATGATAGTAAATGATAATTCATAGGCTAAAGTATTACATTATGTGCTGTTCAAATTCACAATAACTAAATTGTTATTTCGATAAGCCTATGGCTTTCGTCAATGAACGCCATTTTTGGATTGCTGCAGATTAAACGATGATAACTTGGCTCGATGATTTTTGACATTTTTATTTAACATTACAGAGAGATATATACAAAATTTTTAAAAATCTAGGAAGGCACTAGGCAGCAAAATTTAAAACCTACAGCTATTGCACTGGGCTGCAAAATGTCTAGCGCCAGCCCTGGTTAAGCTTTAAGTATATGTGGGAATTTACTCAAGATTCAGGTAAGCCTCAAGCATGTGTGGGCGATAGTTGTTAGTGTAATAAATAACTAAACTAATATAATTCAGGCTTAACTTCGCCACCATACAATACAACCAAAATAAAATTTAGCAGAATAACATGTGTTTATACACCAATCTCATGACATAAAGCTAATTGCATATAGCAGACACTAGCTAAATTTTATAATGAGAGCCACAAATTTGAAGGTTTTCAGATATTGCAAACAAAAGCAAAATTTTCCAATTAATTTTGGGGATGTGGTAATAAATGAAAATGATATTACAGAAGATTGTTCGTTGCAACGACAATGTCCCAATCATCAATCAACTAACAGACTACAAAATTTGTAGTATAGTTCTAAAGCCAGAAAGTATCATTATGGATAGTAAAGAAAGTGACATAGAAGTTGCTTAGCATGAAAAAAATCCAATTGACAATTTAGTGAGAATTCTTAAGATGGCAATTATAGGACCAGAAGAAAATAGCTTTGAACAAAAAATTATGTCTACCTATAGCATTAAACAGAGAGTATTAGCAAAGTGATCACATGTCCCAAATTTCTCAGGACAGTCAGAAATTTTCAGTCCCTGTCCCGATTTTTCACAACTCAATTTTTTGTTCCCGAATTTATAACTTGTTCTGAAAAACAGTAGTGTGAGAACGTAAAAGTTTAAATGCATATATTTATTTAAGTAGTGTAGATTGCAAATTGAGAATACAAGTGCAAGTTAAAAGATGCACGCCATACCGGCCACATAAACCTTACCTTAAAAACCTTAGAAAAATTGTAGGAAGGGAGTTCTATTTCTCATTCTCGTACTTCTCTCCCCAACCCACCAGCATACTCGGAATATTTGCTCACAGTTATAGCTCAGACTTTCACTAACACACAACACTGCAGTTTTTAATAGATATGTTAATTCAATTAAGATTTGAATTAATAATATATAAATATATTTTCTAATTATTAACAGTTCATTACATATGTTAGTGTGTATCATCCCATTATACATTATTACATGGCATCTAAAATTAATTCTCTTTATCATATGCTGAAATTTTTTTGTTGATATAAGAATTCTAAAATCATCTTTCTTTTGTCCTGATTAGATCGTAAAATTTTTACTCCATCATTATTTTAATTTTACATAATGGTTAAAAAAATTGTGTAAAATGTGCCAAAACAATGACGTTTCTCGTTTGGTAACAACATATTTTTTATTTATCAACAGTACATTACATTTGTGTTAAGGATATGTTTTACTGTAGTTTAATTTAATTAATTTTTTATCACTTTCTTTTAGTAATGGGTTCAAAGAAAAAAAGTGTACATTTAACAAAGACCTACAGAAGGAATACTAATTTACTGAAAAAACTGTAAGCAATTCCGATATACTTTGTTGTGAACCTGTTCTTCAAAATTTTCAATAAGCCACAGTGTACGTACAGATAATAAACTTGATATAAATAGTAATAAACATAAAATGTCAAATTCTGCTGCTGCATATACCTCCTCATTAAAGAATTTTTTCAAACAGGAGAATAAGGGTGATAAAGAAGAAGAATCAGCTGAAGCAGAAGGTATATTTGTATACCATACTATTTGCCACAACAATAGCTTTAGGTCTACGGATTATATACAAGCTGCTTCAAGTGGCATTTGAGCATAAACCAAGTGCATGAACCAAGCTGAAGGAAATACTACTAAATGTTTCCACTTCTTATGTTATAACAGCTTTGCACAATGCCTTAGAAAAAAGTTCGGTACTTTTCCGTTTTGCCGGTGCAAACGATAAAGTTGCCAATAATGGTACAACTGATGCCAAATGAAATATCTTTGCTGGTAACCTTTTATGCTTCATTTTCAAAACAAATCGCAGCCATTTCTTATCAGTTTGATTGTTTCTTTCAATACTGGCATACAATTACATAAAATTTTTACAAGATAGTTAAATTTTATGACCTAAAACCATTTGCGGTAATTAAGTCAAATAAGGATGCAATCACACCGCTCAGCCGAAGGCGAAAATATAGAAAAGGCAAAATCAAGGGTTGAATTCATCAATTCTAATGAGAATACACTAGCGAAGTAAAGCAATGCGGTTTTACATAGTTTCTGAGTAAGCTATTTGTACGAATTGAAATAATTCTTGCATTTAAACTTGTATTCCAAATTAAGATTTAACTTGGAATTAATGTAGATAATTAGTTTTTTGTAGTGTAGTTTACGTGAGATAAGATCACTTGGGGTCACGTGATATGAACTGGCGAATCAGGATGTTGAACCATGAAAGCATAGTAAATTTTAAATTGTCTTTTTACATATTTATTGTCTTTATTTACTGGCTTTTTACAAAATTTTAAACCATATTAAAATGTTTATGCCTTCAAAATAAAAAATTCTTAGAACTAACATTTGTTAACATTTTTTATGTATATAATGTATGCTATTGCCAACAAAGTCTGCTTGGTGAGATTTGCACCAAAAGTTCGTTTCAATCTTAACTGATACATCGAAGCCCCCCAAAAATTAAAACTTTTTCCAATACTTAGATTTATACTAGATTGGATTATGGAGTTAGAGTAAAAACTGTATAAATTAAATCCTTATCTGGTGAAACATCCGATAATGTCAGTAACTATTTAACAACCTGTTGTGAAGAAAAGAATTTTAAAGAAAATGTTATTGGTCTCTGTGCTGATAATATGAATTCTAACTTTGAAGGAGCTGATAGAAGTCAAGAAAACAATATTTTTGTTAAACTGAAGCAAAACCTTAACCGTGATTTAACTGGAGTCGGATGTGCAACACATATTATCCATCACACTATAAGAACATCAGATGATGTTTTGTTAGTTGATATCAAACTGATTATTTCTAAAGATATACCTACACTTTAAAATCTTATACTGTTAGAGTAGAAACATTGAAGAATTTCTGCAACTTTGTAAAAACTGAATGAATAAGTTTGAATTTTCAATTATGCTGAAAGGAGTTTCTAATTTTGGAGCTGCTGCAGGATCTTAAAAGTGAAAATATACTTTGATATCAATCTTATAAGTTGAAATTGCTGTAAAAAATTGATAAAAGCTTATATGCGGCATAATTATACAAGAAGCATAAGTGTATTCTTCCTGTGGATATCACATATACCAAACTATTCGATCACATGCAAGCTTGTTGCATGAACTGCTCATATGTAAAATAATGAAAGAACTTTCAACTACAAACTAGCATGAATTTCTGCATCGGTAATAAATCAACAAAAGACCGATCTATATAACAAAATTCAAAGTACTATAAAAACACAGTTTGGTTAGAGTAGACTGAAGGGTACCCCTTGTATTATCGTGAAATTGTTGTTTTGTTTATCTCAAAGTTGTCGTTTCGTTTATGGTAACCTGAGTAGTTGAATGTTCCGTGAATATACTTTTACCCGGAATTGATTGCTCCTTTGAATTTTTAAGTGAAAATATATCAGGGTTGCCACTCAAACAGGAGAATGAAATTCCCTGACTTTTCCAGGTTTTCCAGGTGTGTTTCAAGAAAATTCCAGTCTAATCCGCGTAATGTACGTTGGCTGTGCTAAGAGTAAATTAATTATGGTATTACTTTATTAATCATTAAAATTTTTAATCGAAGAAAATGGGTAAAAACTAAATTATTATCATTTTCAAACTTTTAAAACATTTTTACTG